TCGCGGCTAGAAAAAATGAGTTGCCTTTATATAAGAACATTTATAAAAATGAAGAACGAAGATCCATTATCCATTATTGCAGTAAACGGTAAAAACTGAATTTTAAAATTCTACATCTAATACAGATTAATTTCCATCAAATATGCTAAAAGTAAGTTTCTAAGTATTGAAAAGTTCAGAAATAGTTTGAACAGTATAGAAACGTTGACGATTTAGTGCACAACCCACGCTTTCCAACAATTGTTGTTTGATAGTCAAAGGATTTATGACAAGGAATACATTGTGAGGAATCATTTCCCTTCAATTGAAAATGAATTAGTAAAATGATTATGTTCAATGCGACACCTTCGGATTACAACTTCATCCTGACGACTTAAACCAGTTCGGGCATGATGTCCAATCAAGGGTTGCATGGCATGAATCTTATTTAATAGTTGCTTAATCCACCATTAATATTATATATTATATATATTGTTGCCGCATATTTCTAACATATTGGCAAAAACTTTTGATCTATATATCGAAATGTACCTTGATGCCGATTTCCCAAGAGCAGCTTTAGCTGCAGAATCTGCTTTAGAACTTCCTTTGATGCCAACATGACTGGGAAGCCAGCAAAAGACGTTGTCATTGTTAGCCAGGGACAAATTCAAATGATCTGTTTTACGGTTGTTGATTGCCTGTAAGCAGGATAAACCACCACAAAAAAAATGATAAACTGGTCTCTTTCGAAAGTTCAATAACCTTAGCCTCTGCTGTAACAATGGAATTTCCATCAGTTAAACGTAATAATAGAGTACCATCATGTGTAAAAGCTGCAGCTGACACCGTATATCACCATTTGTTATGCCATGCATGCTCTAACCCTGATGAATCAATCTTTGAACAAGGGTCGCATCACGTTCTTTGAAACCATCACAGAAAGCCTAGTGCCAAACTTACCAAACACAATTGTAAATACTACTGCACCAAAATATTTGTTGAATGTGAACGGTATAAAAGTTATTTAAGCAAAGTAAAGGATTAGATCAATCTAACTATATTTTGTCTTTTACCAGTATTATTCTTGCTGGTAGGATTTGTAATGCACCGAATAAATTTCAAGCTTTGCCATTTGTGTATATTGGGAAGTTGATCTCCCCTCGAACCTTGTCTAATTGTTTCAGCAATCGACGATACTCAACAGCGAGAAGTACGTTTGCTACATACATGGCGGTCACGGGTGGCCAAGTCATCTAAGGCGCCTCGATTCACTGTGCAGATTTGCGTCCCCTGGGCACGCCAGAAACCTATGATTGTGGGTTCGAATCCCGGTTCGTCCCGATTATGTTTCTAGGTTTGTCAGCAACATACCCCTGCTCGTCGGTTTCACCGTAGTGGTAAACGTCTGAGACTTGCATCATGTTGGGCTTTCTTCCCACATTAAGCTGACACGCCGCGTTATAACTGGAAAACTGTTAAAAGCTGCGTTAAACCCAACTCACTCACTCTCTGCTACATACATGATTGGTCAAAATCTTCTTGTTCAAGAAAGATTATATGTGAGTTTGTGACGTATATGAAAACGTGCTTCCATGCAGCAAAATATACATGTATACTGTTGAACTCATCAACAAAGGTAATCACGTGTTATAGAAAGGTTACAAGACACAACTCTGAGTCAAAGACAATGTACCTACAAGCTATAGCTGCAGTGTGTAACTTGAACCAAGTTAATAATGCAAATGTTCATATAGATAAATGTTCTACATATATCAATAGTGTGAATTGAAAAATTGACTTTCACATTCAAATGTATGACGTTGCAGTGATTATTAGACACAGCCGGAATATTAACACGTGCAAACTGATACGTAGTAATTTTGTCAAACTTGGCATATGCCTGTATTGGAAGACGAAATGGACGTGATTCGTGTTTCTAATCCTATATCTTGTGACGAAGAGAACCGTGAGTAACCTGAACAAATCTTTGTCGCTGAACATGTTAGGGACTTCACACGTATGGTTAATTCTACGTGCAATATCTGTTTCAATATTTGTCTATTATTGTTGTTCATTTATGAGATATAGAACGTCAACGCCTAGAAAATACACAGTCTCGATTATATTTGGGGTAATAGGTGAGGTGAGGTGAAATGGGGATTAACGTCGCATACAAGATTGTTGCACTTATATAGCGACGTGCAAGCACGCGCGCGCGTGCGTGTGTGCATGCGTGCGTGCGTGTAGCTGTTTCTACTACTCCTGACTAATGCGGATTTTATAGTGCTATCCCTCGGAGATACTACGCCTCACGTAATCACAGTATACTGACTCTGAGGTCACCAGTCCTTGTTTTAGCCCCTTAATTCCAAGCGGCAGGCAGGGTAACAACAAGCGTTTCAGCGTCTTCTGGTATCCCCCCGACCTCCCGCTCTACTGAAGATCAGTGATGACACAGGGTGTTTGCGATAAGGTTAAACATGTCCTGCCATACCGGTAGCATACACATTAGTGTTTGTTAGTTGCTTGACGCCGCACAGAAGTACTCCTGTCGCGCGACGATGGTTTGTAAACAATACTTTGGTCATATGAAAGGTCATAACACTGTTAAATAAGAATGGATCGCCATGCATCTAATACTACTACTAAGACCTCCTCAGCCGACAGGGTAACATTATCATATTATGGGGATTCTCCTGACTAGATATTATTTTCAGCTACATTTGCAGCACCAGCTTGTTTTCACTAAAATTAATCTAACTATTTTGGTTTTTAAAACAGCCTGGAAAAAATATTTTTGTGGCAGACAACTTCTAAAAAGTTTGTCATCTTTCATTATTCTTATAGTTTCCACTTGGTACATGGATGTAATATTCATTGTTGAACTTATGTATACCTATTGCTGCTGTTAATGACAACGTTGATGTTGCTTTTGTATATTATTTGAAGGTTAGGAACTTTGTGGCTTGTACCATGTACCTTGAATAAAAATATTCAAACAAACCTAAAATGCATGCAAAAACATTTAAGAACGATCATATCTTTGTTTCATCAAAGGATTTCATTTGTCGCCTTTACAAACAGTTGGCCAGGAGGTATCCGTGTTAGATGAATGTTAAATAAGTTGGGGGATCTTGCAATTGTATTGAATATTGACCTGGCACAACTTAGGTCAACACATTATTCAGCATTGTAGATTGTCAGGTGTATTACGCGGTAAATCCCAAATCGAAACTGTCGTAACGTTACACCATATGGAATTTCTAGACAGACAAGGGATCGCTAAGGACATAGATCGTCAGCTAACATGACGTATGACTTCGGGCCACAGATCTCCCGAATGGTGTCATAGCAGAAAGCACAAGAGGCGAGTAACGGGATCGGATGGTCAGACTCGGTGACTTGGTTGATGCATATCATCGAATCCCAATTGTGTAGATCGATGCACATGATATAAATACTTGCATTGTCTGGTCCAGACCCGATGATTTACTGACGTCCGTGATCATGTACCTGGGATATTGCTGGAGTGCGGCGTTAAACAAACAAACAAATAACATTCCTTTGGTTCTCCGAATATCCGACAACACGTTCCTGATCTGAGACTGTGCTGGTATTTATTTGACCCACGCTGTTGTATTTGCGTGGTATTTGTCATTTTAATTGTACTGCATGTCTGATTCTATTTTAGAATCACACTAAGTGACCAATAACTGACACCCTCTTATTAAAGTAGGTACCCTCGCTGTTTGCATCTAAAGTTGAATAGGTGGTAATCAGAAGTGAAATCGTGAAATGTATCGACCTGTAATATGATGCACACCAACAGCACGTGTCCCTCACTTCTATCGACATAGCATTTACATCTGGCATCAACCTCCAAACGTCAAGTGAAACAAATGTTCACAAATATCGAACGTTAAAATTTATATTTGGCATAATCGAGGTAAAGATACTTTTAAAAATCCTCAAGTGAAAATCTTCTATATACTCTTTAACACATTATAAAATCAAAGTGTGATAGATTATATCATAAGGTAATGTGCAAAATTCGGATGCCCGTAGAGTATATTTGGGAGCTTTATTGCTATGTAAGAATATGTCATTTGGGATGCATATTCGATTATTCTCTCACACTTTATAACACATTTAACTAAATTATTTCATTGGAAACGTAGGAGAGTACAACGTGCTATAGCTTTGCAAGATCACTAGATATGTAAGATCACTAACATCACGACAATATTGCAATTATTCACCAGATATCAAACAAAGCAGGGCGGGTGCACCAATTACGCGGAGTTGTTGGCTTCTTTGTAGGTGTACCAGCAAGTTGCGTCATGCCAAGTCCTGCCTGCAACGTGTATATAATATCTGGGTGTTTTTGGGGTGTGACAGACACATGTGCACTCGTCTACGACTTGGTGTTATGATTCAAAGGACAAATGGAGATACCGATCCGCTGGGAATCATTGCTGGTACTATTATAAGTGGACATCTTGCGTGTCTTAGTCTCATATCTGCCTATGATCTGTCTCCCTCGTAGTTGACACCGTTTCCCTTGGTTGTATTGCATGTTCTCCACGTTGGTATGCCGTCATCTGATCGACGTGTGCATGTGACATGCACAAACAATTTTTTTTTGAAACATCCAGTTTCTTCATAATATAGTTTGTAAACACTATTGTATATGTTGCTTCATGATTAATGTTATTGAATTTGGTTTTAAGATTCATTGTGGCGTTAACACATTGTCAAAATCATTTACCCTATATATATCATATATTCATGATTCGTAAACACTATTGAACATGTCGCTTCATGATTAATGTTGTTGAATTTAGTTTTACGATCAAACACGTCATTAACACAAATTCATTCCTCTATCAATTGATATCAATAAATATTTTAAGGTTCGAGCTAAGTCAAATTCCATCCCATGTCCAAATGTTAAATACTGAAATTGTCGAGATCATGTTACTGTCATGTTCAGGCCATGTGACACAACACTTCGGTGCTATGGAGACGGGCGTTATAAATAGGGGGACGCACTGATCTCATTCGCAGTTCATCCCCCGTCCAGACAAAGAAACGGTTCTCAGGCAAACATTACCAGTCATGTTTAAATTTGGCGTGATGGTGCCTTTTCTGGGTAAGGTGTTTATTTGCTTTGGTATCTAACATTTACGTCAGTTACTTAGCATGTTATCCATTTGGAGTTATGAATAATATAAGTGACAGTAATCAGACCAATTCTAGTGTTCCTAGCAATTTTAGGCAGTTTAAAGACGAACTGTGTTCGATTTAGTACACTCGATGTTCCAATGTTAAACAAAACTATTTATCATTTGTTTTTCTCATACTTGAATTATAAGTCGTGGCGAGGCGTGACATCGAAGTATATTTGATGACTATCATGAATACTAGAAACTAAGTCTGATTCATAGATGTGTGGAGACGTTATATATTTCAGGTAAATGTACATTATTTACTACACAAATAGTCTGTTAGTATGTTGGAAAGTCGGTTGTTTTATATACTGCTATCGCTATGTGCCCAGTGGGTTCTTAACACATTTTCAACAATGAACACTGATAGAAAATGTACGTCAACTATTCTAGAAATTGCATAATATACCTTCAATGCATGTCACAAATTGTGATTTAAATTTCGGAAAGATGAACATACACATTATAGTTGTAGTTGTGAACTCGTGCCTTTTGATGATTTGGATTTGCTTTGGTTTTTGTTTGCTTGCTGTTTAACGCCGCACTCAGCAATATTCCAGCTATATGACATCGGTCTGTAAAATAATTGACCAAACAATCCAGTGATTGAAATCATGAGCATTGATGATTTCGAATTTATTTTTGATTTGGAATATTTTATTAGATTTTTTAATTGTGTTTTCATGACGATAAGACTGAAACTACAAATGGTGGTAGTGCTCGTTTCCGGAGCGGAACTCAAAAACTTTTTTCCTGAATGATTGATTGATTGTTTGTTGTTTAACGCCGTACTCTGCAATATTCCAGCTGTATGACGGCGGTCTTTAAGAAATCGAGTCTGGACCAGACTGTCCAGTGATTGACATCATGAACATTGCTGATTTGGTTGATGCATATCATCGGATCCCATTTGCGTGGATCGTTGCTCATTTCAATCACAGGACTGTCTGGTCCAGACTTGATTATAATCATGGACGATTTCAGTGGCCATTATCCTCTGTGGGGGAGTACCGATACCAATAATAAGGGAAAAGTCATCGAAGATTTTACCTTTAAAGACTGGTATCTTTGTATTTTCTATGATGCGTATAACACTTATATGCATCCTTCCACTGGAACATACTATGTCCTTTATCTTTTTCTCATAGATCCAAATCTTTGGAACGAGTTTAAATAGTAAGTGGCTGATATCCATACTTCTGGATATTAATCTCGCTGATGAACCACCTTCATCAAGGTACAGTCTTGGCCTTTATTACAAACTGTACATCTTGTACTGGAAAACTAAACTCTGTCGTTCTCAGGAATGTTTCTGAACCCATACTACTATTTTCGGGTCAATTACATGTATACGAAATCATTCGAGTCATGTGCAAGCCCTCATATAATGGTTTGACATAAATAAGCTAGAAAAAGGTGGAAGAAAGCCGAGAAAAATTACTCTCAGCTCCGGGTACACTTGTCTGATTCTTGTTTGGAAATGCTACTTAATATATTTAATAATTTGAAATAAGAACAACTAGAATTGTTTCTCCTTAGATGCATAATGCCATTATAATTCCTGTACAAAAGCATACTGATCCGTCCAATTGCCGCCTTCTATCTATGACTAGATGTGGTTGTAAAACCATGGAACGCATGGTCACCACTCGGTTAGTCTGGTACTGCAGATAACGTCTTTAGTAACAAGAAGAAGACATCAGAACTAAGTCTTTGAATGGCATATAGATAGTACCATTGACCATTTGGTGCGCTTAAGATCATTTTAATAATCAATTGCCAGCAGACAACATGCTTTGTCATTTTGTTTTCGACTGAGAGAAGGTATACATTATAACGTGGGAACACGGTCTTTCAAAACATTAAAATGAGGTTGGACTGATAGGCAGATTATCTTACTTTATGTCTTGAACTAACAGACACTTTCAAGTAGGGGTGGGCTCTACACTGTCTGAACATTTCAATCGAGAATTTAAATCCGCCAGGGCATTCGTCAGGGCAGCATGCTATCTGTCCCATTTACATACATCACAGTTTATAGTCTCACTAAAGCTTGGAACACTTGTTTTGATGGTCCCATTTCATGGATGATTCTAAAATTTCTTATTGCGGTATATGCTTGCGATAGAAAGAGAGATACGAACAGGGTGTTGACAACTTCAAAAATGGGCCTGTCAAGTGGGGTCTGGCTCGGTCAACTCCCAATCGCTTGTAATGGTCATTAATACGCTATAAGCTGGATCATGTTTCCAATATCGATGGTGGAGCCTGCAAAAGCAACTTAGAAATATAAGACTCAATACGCCAACAAGGCCGAAGTCACTGTCGTGGAGCCTTTAGGACCTCTCCCCTTGACAGGCTGTATGTGAAAGCTGACGAACTTTTACCCAAACATCGAAATGCAGTGAACTGCACTCAAAGTCAAAGATATTTAATGCATTTAGGGCCTCTTTAACGGGTATCTGCCACACCCTCCATGGACCATACAATTGGGTGTTGATGGGTGTAAGAATGTTTTACAGACTTAAAGAGGAGACCCGTGAAGATCCGGGGTAGAATTGGTCTTCAGCAACCCATATTTGCCGTAAAAGGCGACTATGCTTGTCGTAAACGGCCACTTACGGGATCGGGTGGTCAGGCTTGCTGACTTGGTTTGATACATGTCATCAATCCGAATTGCGTGGATCGATGCTCGTGATGTCAATCACTGGATTGTCTGGCCTAGACTCGATTATTTTACGGTCCGCCGTCATATAGCTGTAATATATCTAAATGCGGCGTTAAACAACAAAGAAACAAACAAAGCTTTTCGAGACAATCGTTTCGTTAAAATCCCCATACTTCTGATCCACATAACAGCCTTGGTTGGATTTGGGCATAAAATAATTTAAATAATACATTCGGTGTAAAATTTCCCTCTTTCGGCAAGACAGACATTACATGAATTAATGCCTTCTTTGCACACAATGTTAAATCCGAAACACTTTACTTGAAGTTCATTGTGTAGGTAAACAGTACACACAGAAAAATGACACATTTACAATATTTCATTCAATGTCACCTGACCCCCTCTTCAATATTTCCATAAATATTTCCTGGTCAGAGATGTACGCGATGGAGATTAATCAAACGAGTTTATCAATTCGAGGGAATAGTTCACAGTACAAGCGGCTCATATAACTATTCGAACAGTTTACCTAAATTATAATCTTATTTCATATAGTATGTCTTTAGAATGTAGCATCCACCCAATCTGTTGTGAGATGCATCAAAACACGGAACTTGATATATGTAGTGTTAATAGTTTTGTCATAGTATCATTACTGATAATTCAAGTGTATTATGATGGCGCAATATTTTGTACTTTCAGCCGTGATGATCCTTGCTGTGATCAGGGATGTCAAAGCTGCCGACTGTGTTGACGACGACGGTTGTGGCGCCCACGGTACCTGTCCTGCCACTACCGCACCATGTGTGTGTACAGACGGATACTCGGGGGATGGCTGTACAGCAGGTAACAGATTACACATTTGCACACAAAATATGTTACAGTATGAACCATCATGTCATATTCCCATTTATGATGAAAAGCTTTCATTTATTGCAGGGTATGTATGTTCCAATTGTAATCCTACATTGTTTTTATTTTATTTATACATTGAGATTCATGATAAAAACTTAAAATCACTAAACAGAAATATATGATCAGTTTAATGAAAATGTTCTAAAGTACTTGTACAAGGGGCTTTGAAATTGTACCCCCTATTCTGAACAGTATTTCACCCAACTAAGGCGTGTTAGGCGTGTTGTGGGTAATGCATCTCTCATACGTTTACCATTTTGGTGGGTCCAAAAGACCATCAATATAGTGCTGACGAAACACGGATGAAAGCAGGACAATTCCTGGATTCAAACCCTTGACACAACTCTGAACAATTAATTGTGGCGCATAACATGAACCGGCCACACATGCCTTACATATATAATTGAGACAGATAAATATATTAGTACCTGAACGTATGTTCAGGAGATTTTCAATGAATGAGAATCAAATCTAGCATAAGCTAGTTCTGTAAATATCAAAACGATACACACGTGGATGCAATGACCTGGTATTGTTACTAACAATTTAACCCACAGTCTACCACAGTCTATATAAAATCTATATGTTATAGTTCCTTCTTTTTTTAATATTCTCTGTTAATCCAAACAGGATCAGAATGTGGCGTGTAATTCACCGAATACAAGTCAGTTGACCCAACTTACGACATGTGTGTCACTTTCTCGACTCGCAGCTAAGATGGTATTATGTGGTATGAACCTATCAAAGTGTGAAGTTATTAGAAAGTTAAAACGTTTCACACATGTGCTGACGTTAAGGTACATTTACTGGATAGAGAAGCATATTCCTGATAAATATAAAAATGTAATGATGCGCATGAGAGAAAAAACTTGAGGATTCTGTTCATACTGGAAGTTCACATTATATCTTGACTGGAGTTTTAATACTCTCCTCGAATAAAATAAATCATCTACAGTCATGTATAAAATCTTAGATGGTTAAACGAGAGGAATAAGGGAAGATTCTTACATATATATGTCTATCATTTTAGTAAATGGACACTGGTTAGCCAGATACATACATATCAGAGTGTGTGAACTTGACCAAAGCCTAACGACTACATGTACAGCAAAATGAGAGGGGAACACTTGCAAAAGCCAAATACGAATCATTTTTTTAAATGTCAATCACATTTTAAATCCAATTACAATGATAGATATATTTTGTTTAATATTTAATGTATACGATATCCATATATGGTTAGCTGCATATTATTGCTGGTTTCGGTAACGGTAAGCCACATGTACTATAAAATCAATATCTGTACAGTTATGCGAAGTATCCCGTTAATGGATATTTTAGTAGTATATTGTTAGAGCCGTAGTCGAAAACTTTATATAATGACGTAAAGTCGCTACACTTATAGATCTATCTAGCATCATCATTATATCACACATCATCTACTTCATTTCAGCACCGTGTACTAGCGGAGGTGGTGAGTGTGGCTCTCACGGAAGCTGCAATACAGGTGGCACCACTGTGAAATGCGATTGCACAGATGGATACAGTGGGGTCCTTTGTGCAGACGGTATGTGTACATGCATGAATGAACGAACGAATGTGGTTAATTCCTCGAGATAAATTCGAAGATTCACAATGCATGAAGATCATGTGATTTATTTACAAACAAATTTATCATACATACTTATCATAAATGTGAACACAACGTCCTGTATGATACATACAATGATAAACACGGGTAAAATTGCCACAGGTTGTTAAATGTATTCTCGATGTAAACTCCGCCGTCATATAGCTGGAATATTGCTGAGTGCGCCGTTAAACAACAAACCAACCTTGATGTAAAATGCCGTGTTATTTCATCAATATCATCGTTATCTGCATTAAGAATTAATGCTAACATTACATGGTCTTGCATAATCTCTTGGTTAACATTCGTTTCAACATCAAGATTATTTATTGGCGTCGAGAAAAGTCTGAAACTCTGAAAGTCCACATTCACAGATCACAGTGTGACAGAAATCATTTGCAAAAGTGACATTTGTAAACATTTTATTCATGGATCCAATTCTTATTACAAACTATATTTATTCTTTCAAATCTTGATATAACAAGCATGACTGTCTTTGACGACGTCAGAATATTAGCTGGAATTGTGTACACAAATCAAAAGAAGTCCTCTTGGCTTATCCTCGCACAACCATCTCCGGATTGCAACTGTTTCCGGTAAGGCTTTAGATAAGCCTTGAAACTGGTATTGACTGACTACTAGCATCAATTAAAAAAACAATTAAAATGATACAATACCACCCTCCGTATTTATTGGTGAACAACTATCTGCATTGTTTAACGGTGTATGAAGACACTTATTGTATGAAGAAATCTCAATTTTAGAAACACATTTAGGAACAAACATTTTTCTCTGGAGGTAGCATTGTTCGCTACAAATGGTAAGTGATCAGATATATCGTTCGCTACAAATGGTAAGTGATCAGTTATATCGTTCGCTACAAATGGTAAGTGATCAGATATATCGTTCGCTACAAATGGTAAGTGATCAGATATATCGTTCGCTACAAATGGTAAGTGATCAGATATATCGTTCGCTACAAATGGTAAGTGATCAGATATAACGTAACTAGTGAACAGCACTTCACCGGCACTGACGTTACTCTGCAAATGGGAGGGAATCATGATATAATCAATAAGACTCTTGTTTATGTCAGCTTTGCTTCAGAAGTTATTTGTCTTGATAGAGATATGTACAAATGCCAGCCTTGCTGAGCACTTTGCTCTGTAACACATGATCATGAATACCCCCTTCATTGAAATGGAACACTAGCGGATAGCCGATATCATGTGTGTAGTTTTTTTTAGAACACTCTGAGGTATTCAATTGATCAATTATTTTAAGTATCAAATTTGGAGGATATCGTTTTTACTACAAATCTTCATTTTGTTATAGAATGTTTCAGAAAGAGACAACATTGACAACGATCATAAATAAATACATGTTTTAACATTACATGTGTACTTAAGATTGATAAGATATAAATTGCTAAACAAAGAGTAAGGCAGTGTCACTTCATGTGGTCAAAATAGTACAGAAACACTGCACTCCGTAATTACTATAACATAAAGACGTACAATCATCAACCGCAATTTCACCTATTTGAATAGTGAGCAGTGTAGAACATTGGCTACTATCGTAGCATCAATAAATATTCTACTTGTGAAGATCCGGGGTAGAAACGGCCTTCAGCAATTCATGCTTGCCGTAAAAGGCGACTATACTTGTCGGAAGAAGCGACTAACAGGATCGGGTGGTCAGGCTCTCTGACTTGGTTGATGCATGTCATCGATCCCAATTGCGTGGATGGATGCTCATGATTAAATCACTGGATTGTCTGGTCCAGACTCGATTATTTACAGACCGCCGTCAAATAGCTGGAATATTGCTGAGTGCGGCGTTAAAAGAACAAACCAACCATCCCATTACTTGGATTGATGCATGTTATCGATCCCAATTGCGTGGATCGATGCTCATGATTAAATCACTGGATTGTCTGGTCCAGACTCGATTATTTACAGACCGCCGTCATATAGCTGGAATATTGCTGAGAGCGGCGTTAAAACACCACCAACCATCCCATTACTTGGATGCTATCAGCTGAATTTTGCAAAAGCCAAATACGAAGACTTAACTAAGAACAGTTTAAATCCAATTACAATGATCGATATATTTTGTGTAATGTTATTGCTGGTTTCGGTAACGGTAAGCAACATGTACTATAAAATCAATATCTGTACAGTTATGCGAAGTATCCCGTTAATGGATATTTTAGTAGTATATTGTTAGAGCCGTAGTCGAAAACTTTATATAATGACGTAAAGTCGCTACACTTATAGATCTATCTAGCATCATCATTATATCACACATCATCTACTTCATTTCAGCACCGTGTACTAGCGGAGGTGGTGAGTGTGGCTCTCACGGAAGCTGCAATACAGGTGGCACCACTGTGAAATGCGATTGCACAGATGGATACAGTGGGGTCCTTTGTGCAGACGGTATGTGTACATGCATGAATGAACGAACGAATGTGGTTAATTCCTCGAGATAAATTCGAAGATTCACAATGCATGAAGATCATGTGATTTATTTACAAACAAATTAATCATACATACTTATCATAAATGTGAACACAACGTCCTGTATGATACATACAATGATAAACACGGGTAAAATTGCCACAGGTTGTTAAATGTATTCTCGATGTAAACTCCGCCGTCATATAGCTGGAATATTGCTGAGTGCGCCGTTAAACAACAAACCAACCTTGATGTAAAATGCCGTGTTATTTCATCAATATCATCGTTATCTGCATTAAGAATTAATGCTAACATTACATGGTCTTGCATAATCTCTTGGTTAACATTCGTTTCAACATCAAGATTATTTATTGGCGTCGAGAAAAGTCTGAAACTCTGAAAGTCCACATTCACAGATCACAGTGTGACAGAAATCATTTGCAAAAGTGACATTTGTAAACATTTTATTCATGGATCCAATTCTTATTACAAACTATATTTATTCTTTCAAATCTTGATATAACAAGCATGACTGTCTTTGACGACGTCAGAATATTAGCTGGAATTGTGTACACAAATCGAAAGAAGTCCTCTTGGCTTATCCTCGCACAACCATCTCCGGATTGCAACTGTTTCCGGTAAGGCTTTAGATAAGCCTTGAAACTGGTATTGACTGACTACTAGCATCAATTAAAAAAACAATTAAAATGATACAATACCACCCTCCGTATTTATTGGTGAACAACTATCTGCATTGTTTAACGGTGTATGAAGACACTTATTGTATGAAGAAATCTCAATTTTAGAAACACATTTAGGAACAAACATTTTTCTCTGGAGGTAGCATTGTTCGCTACAAATGGTAAGTGATCAGATATATCGTTCGCTACAAATGGTAAGTGATCAGTTATATCGTTCGCTACAAATGGTAAGTGATCAGATACATCGTTCGCTACAAATTGTAAGTGATCAGATATATCGTTCGCTACAAATGGTAAGTGATCAGATATATCGTTCGCTACAAATGGTAAGTGATCAGATATAACGTAACTAGTGAACAGCACTTCACCGGCACTGACGTTACTCTGCAAATGGGAGGGAATCATGATATAATCAATAAGACTCTTGTTTATGTCAGCTTTGCTTCAGAAGTTATTTGTCTTGATAGAGATATGTACAAATGCCAGCCTTGCTGAGCACTTTGCTCTGTAACACATGATCATGAATACCCCCTTCATTGAAATGGAACACTAGCGGATAGCCGATATCATGTGTGTAGTTTTTTTTAGAACACTCTGAGGTATTCAATTGATCAATTATTTTAAGTATCAAATTTGGAGGATATCGTTTTTACTACAAATCTTCATTTTGTTATAGAATGTTTCAGAAAGAGACAACATTGACAACGATCATAAATAAATACATGTTTTAACATTACATGTGTACTTAAGATTGATAAGATATAAATTGCTAAACAAAGAGTAAGGCAGTGTCACTTCATGTGGTCAAAATAGTACAGAAACACTGCACTCCGTAATTACTATAACATAAAGACGTACAATCATCAACCGCAATTTCACCTATTTGAATAGTGAGCAGTGTAGAACATTGGCTACTATCGTAGCATCAATAAATATTCTACTTGTGAAGATCCGGGGTAGAAACGGCCTTCAGCAATTCATGCTTGCCGTAAAAGGCGACTATACTTGTCGGAAGAAGCGACTAACAGGATCGGGTGGTCAGGCTCTCTGACTTGGTTGATGCATGTCATCGATCCCAATTGCGTGGATGGATGCTCATGATTAAATCACTGGATTGTCTGGTCCAGACTCGATTATTTACAGACCGCCGTCAAATAGCTGGAATATTGCTGAGAGCGGCGTTAAAAGAACCAACCAACCATCCCATTACATGGATTGATGCATGTTATCGATCCCAATTGCGTGGATCGATGCTCATGATTAAATCACTGGATTGTCTGGTCCAGACTCGATTATTTACAGACCGCCGTCATATAGCTGGAATATTGCTGAGAGCGGCGTTAAAACACCACCAACCATCCCATTACTTGGATTGATGCTCATGATATCAATCACTGGATCGTCTGGTCCAGACTCGATTATGTACAGACCGCCGTCATATAGCTGGATTATTGCTGGAAGTGACTGATTGATAAGCTCGCTCAATTCATATATTTTCTATTTAAAGAAGCTATGCAAGTCTAGATTAGGTAGTTGAACTATCGGCTCGTTCATTGGTTAATTGTGTGTAATGGACAACTGAAATTGTTGCCATTTTTCCAGCACCTGTTTGCACTGCCAGTGGAAGTGAATGTGGCACCCACGGTAGCTGTGACACAAGCGGCACTATCGCCTCCTGCACCTGCACTGATGGATACACGGGCACCACATGTACAACCGGTACGACGTTTTTGAACATATTTTATCAACTGAATTTTGCAAAAGCCAAATACGAAGACTTAACTAAGAACAGCTTAAATCCAATTACAATGATCGATATATTTTGTGTAATGTTCCGTGTATATGATGTTCTATGTCAGCTGTAAATTACTGCTGGTAACGATAACAGTGAGCCCGATGTACTATAATATAAATATCTGTACAATGCAAAGTATCCTGTAAATGGATATTTCAGTAATATATTGTTAAAGCCGTTGTCGAAAACTTTAAATAATGACGTAAAGTCGCCATACACTGAGAGCTATTTCTGAATACTATCATACGTCTTCATATTGTCACATGAGATCATACACTGCTACTGCTACTTTTCAGCACCGTGTACCAGCGGGGGTAGTGAGTGTGGCACTTACGGAACCTGCAATACAGCCGGCACCACCGTGAAGTGTGATTGCACACCTGGCTATACCGGGACCCTTTGTACACAACGTATGTATGCATTATATGTCCATTTCTTATATTCCCAATGCAAAGATACTTTATCTACAATGTAGACTCAAACCTATTGTAGATAGAACAAATGAAAGAAGAAATAACTGTCGTTCGGTCGTTGGTGTTAAACGAAAGAAACGATTTATCAAATGGTGGTCTGTGAACCTCACTACAGTACACATGGCCAATGATCGGTCAAAGCAAGATAAGTACATACCAGTGAAAGACGTGACTCTGTTTCATTTCAGACTCTGATACCCTGAAAATCAGGTTGGGATTGTATTGACATCTGATAATATTTGTTATTGTGAACTAACGAGCAGAGCATAGGGATTTGTGGCAACAATACGTTTTATGACAGCAAGTAGCTGCAGTATTTGTAGCCCATTATTTTGTTGGATAAATTGACAATGTATTGTCAAATATATAACTTCTTTTCTTGTCTATGCAGGATCAGGAGGAAACCGTGTTACTTTTCTTGCACAACTTCTGCTGATTCCCATAGTCCTTTCTCGCTATATGCAGTAACAACTTTCCCCTCGTGACAACAGAATGAAGAAAATTCGCTCCGTTTGATACATTATTAATCACTTTCGAGTTCCTGCTCTACTATCAAAGAGAATGTTTATTTCAAAAAAGCATCTTCGTGTGTAATCATAATTATAATCCTTTGTATGAAAATCCTTAGCTCTAGATATACAAGCGTGGTATATGAAGGATTGAAGTGTCCAAATGACTACAGAACAAATGCTTATCACTGCTTGAGTACCAATTGTCACAATTCCATTCTTATTTTTAAAAGCTCCAAGATTATGTTCATTGTAACACTATCGTTTTTCGAGAGATATCATATTTCATTAGCTCAAAGACACTTGCACGCTTCAATTCTCGTGTTCTTTACCTAGATGACATGTTGAGCTCCTGACTGATGTCAGTTGTTCCGTCGAAATAAATGGTTCAGTTCACGGCAACTCTGCGTTCGTCTACTTTGTTCAAATATACACTAAATTGTGTGTATTGGATTTATTTGTATGAATTATTTGTTTTTATCTGACCCTATGTGATTTGCTTCGAAATGGTATTAACGTTAGATTATAGCCGTAATCGTTGCATGATTATTTGCGGATGTAATTTAAATGTCTGAGCGGAATGTAAATGTTATTTTATCTGCATGTACTCAAGAACTTCCTGAACAGAGGGATCGCTATTCATAAACACATAATCATACTTTAATCGGAATCGTACAATCGACCATGCTTTTTGCAGAGATATCTTATTTGTTAAAAATCTCAATAGCAACTGTTACAATGTGCTACAAGCACAGAGGCGAAAGAAATGTTTTCCTAAATAGTGAAGCCATGTTTAACAATACACCTTATTAATAAAATACAAACCTGTCTTAATACGGCATGTTCACATTGATATTGTATATGCATTTTAAGTGTCTCGGAAGAATTTTAACTCTTGCTCGGAAGTTGTTTGATCAAGGTTACAACATTCAAGGGCTCAGTGAAGCTTTCAAAACGTTTTAAAGTATACATCGCTCGTTAGATACGTTTTGAAACAAATCGTTGTAAGATCAATGGTATCTGACAGACACTCGTGAAGTAATCTCTATATCCGTGATAAGATCAAGATATATGTGGTAAAGGAGGTAACAGAAATGAGTGAGTTCACCTTCGTCTATTGTAACAATGATTATTCCGCCAAGCACTGTGGTTAGCACCAAGGCTTACATCGCGTGCTTGAAGGGGAAGACAGCATTGGCCTGTGATGGTTCCACCACTGTAGTAGCTCTGGCTACTGGCGTAGAGACCAGGATAACAAATCTGGGAACCTCAGCCTGTGGTATGTTACTCTTTCACAACACTTTTGAAACTACTTGTATTTTTGTTTTTCAAGACCTACAATTGTTGTCACATACTTTTGGCGTCACAAGTAAGCTTCCCTGAGGTGTTGTAGAGTCATAAGATATAAGGCTTCGAATCTCTGATTTGCAATGATAATGGTTCTTGGTTTGTCACTACAATACATGTGTTCATGGGTTTTGCCAAGTAGTGAAACGTCTAGTCAGTGAATACTTAGGAGATAAACATACTGTGTTTTCAATGTAGAGCTAGGTTACCTGTAGATTTAACCCCGCTAAATTGAATTTGGAACCGAACGCGAAGCGTGAGGTTTCAAATTTTAAATGTAGCGGGGTTAAATCTTCAGGTAACCTAGCTCTACATTGAAAACACAGTATGTTTATCTCCATTCTGCCATGACTAAATAAATTGCGAACTCTTTGGTGTTAGCGAATATACTGAGTGAAGCGGCATGGGTTGAGTTCAGTTGAGTTGGTAAGCTAACATGAGGTGGGCATCCCTAAAGAAAACAAAGCAAGCTTTGCAAGGCTTTCGCTCTACATCGCGCGTCACCATTATGAGGTCATATCGCTCATTGTGACGCAAAAGATATGACGTCACAGTCGTATATAGAAAAGCGCCAAAATTCCAAGCTCTCTGGTGTCTCCAAAACGTAATTACATTCCCTTTGTTGATTTTTGTCATGTTTTTGTATGTATTGCCACACATCCTTTGAATATTGTAGTAACCGCATCTGTGCATTTTGTAACCTGTAATTGTAGATATAATTATTTAAATATGCCTACCGACAATATAAAATAGTACTATTCTATGAATATTAGCTCCGCGGTGATGCGGCCGTCAAACCAGTTGTTTCAATCAGAGGGGGTTTATTGTGATTTAATAACCTCTGATTGACCAATCAGAATCGAGTAAATTCCAAATTCATCGTAGAATTACTGTTATCCCTGATGAGCACACACAAATATCCAAAGTCATTTCAGGAAACATTGTATCAAAATCATTACCATCCCATCTTGTTAAAGTCCATGCTTCTAATGCTTCTAATCATCCATTTGTGTTTGGCTCTATATCTGGTAAAAATGTGACGAAGGTTTCTCGTTAAAAACCTATGCCTGGTTCCAGTCAAAAATACATCGGATTGTCATCTAGGTTTACATCATGATTTGGTTTGGGATGATACAATAACAGAAAAAAATATGGAACACGCCTCTAAAGACACTAAATTTAACATTACTTGCAAACTTGAAGAGTAATATTCAACTTGGATGATAAAACTATCAAATCAGTATTACAGCTAGCCGTTTCTCGTATAAAGTTCAAAATGTTCTCAAATATGCGTCCAGTCACATGATGGTTGGTTGGTTGGTTCGTTGTTTAACGCCGCACTCAGCAATATTCCAGCTGAATATATGTCGTCGGTTTTGTAAATAATCGAGTCTGGACCAGACAATCCAGTGACTGATATCATGAGCATCGATCCACGCAATTGGGATCGATAACATGCATCAACCAAGTCAGCGAGCCTGACCACCCCATCCCGTTAGTCGCCTCTTACGACAAGCATCATGACTTTTACGTCAAGCATGGGTTGCTGAAGACCTGTTCTACCCCGGATCTTCACGGGTCCCAGTCACATGAGCGCGAACTGAAGGGATGAACTGAATAATGGCAGTGACGTCACTGCTAACTCAAGATCAGTTTATGGCGTCTTATTACGATTCTTGAAAGTATATTTTTACAATCACGTTCGTCGACTTCCGGACACGATGAACCAGGTGATCATTCCATACTCGTGTCAGTCAACTCTACAAGTTGCATATGAAAGCTTAAATATAAAACAACAAGGTCAATAAAAATATGAGATGCCCTTTGGCGTAAAATGAAAATGATATAAATGGAATCTTCATACTGATATATAGTGATGACACCAGGTTTTCGCAGAAATGGTAAGCATGACCCGCCCGACCGAAAGCACCCGCAGTTCCTACAATTGTCATCCAAAAAGCAAGTGTTTGTCACACAAATCAGACAATCAAGTGGCACCATAACTTTTTTACTGATTTCTTAAAACTAAACAAATATCTTATTTTGACTTGCTGTGGACAAGTGCGGAGTAAAGAGAAACGTTCATGAAAAATGTTCGTTTTGCAACAGTGGGAACAGTTTTATTGCCCTTTTTTACACTCCGCAGAATTGACAAGTGCTGCTGACCTCATCATAAAACTTGTGGTCGAACAGCAAAAACATTAAACATAAGTTTGGTTCAATGTACAATCTCCCTCAACATTACATCAAAGTATTTATCACAACGACGACAGGGCTTGTAATAGGGACCATTTCGCAGCATTACTTTCGTACGTGTATCTTTCACCGTTAGTGTTGAATTGAGAATAAAACCATGATTCACAAGAAGGGCTGAAATCAAACAATCTGGCCGATTGGTATGTGAGCCCACTATTATTCGGAAGAGAAACATAAAAATACCATGTAATCTCTCTGATCTGTAGTGCACTACAATATTCCATGTTATCATGAGACGTCTCAGAAAGCGTATCACCTGTTCAGCAAGAGCCACTTAGAACTGATAATCTTAGATAATTTGACACGTATTGTCTTCGCTGCAATTATGCATATTCTTTCGTGCATGAAGTAATACATACTGTCAGTTTTCCAAGAACACAATACTGTTTGTATGGTTTAGGGATTAAGTGACACTGCCTCATTTGAAATGGCTTTATGTCGGATGGTCTCCTCTGCATGTTGCTATACAGTATTTGTTGTTGTGTTTGATATGTTTCATTACATATGCTTTGATTACAATACATGATACCGCCAACGATCGAGCTCACTCTCACATGTGCTTAAACCTGTAAATACAAACGACAAACCCATTGCCTTTATCACAAGAAAAGTACAAACACACGCAACACAAATCAAGCGTTCACATGAAAAAGTCAAAATAGGGAATTAAAGAATGGAACAATCAAGTCGAAACTAATGCGTCAAATTTGGAAATTACATGTGCATGCGCTGCTTTACCTGTAGCACCCACTCATCACAAAATTGGCATTAAAAATGTAAGTGTGTGTTTGTTGCCTAAATGCGCACCCTGCAATTATCCTGCCGAATGACGGGGGCCTTTAAAGAATTGAGTCAAGACAATAGTTATATGGCAGTGTATTATATTGTTTAACTGTGTTACATTGTTTCTGTTGAGATTCGATAGACGCTCATTGCATTGTACTTGGACAGCGATCAGTTGTCAGGAATGTAGTACTGTTTTATATAAGCAGTTTTGAGGAAGTCACAATATTTAGGTGGCAATGTGGTGTGTAAACTTCCGGTATACCTTGATGTAAAATATCCTGTAATGTTCTATTGCCGCTAGACTGGAAAGGACACTGTGTAGTAAGTTTCAGCAGTTAGCAAGACTACATGTAAGGAGACAAGAGGGTGCCATCTCTAAACCACTTCATTACATCAGGACCAGCTTTCGTGTGTGGCTCACTGATCACCCCGGAATCCCTGGCTACGCATATCTCGGAAGCATCACCACTGCATTATTATTACTGACCTTTGCTATTACCACTGTATATTTGATACTGACCACTGCCATACTGTCACTGAATATTGTACTACCACTCTATTGTGTACTGCTGTTGTAATTGCTGTGCAATTAATTTGTTTTGAATTCTAAACCTAGTTAATTTTGTTAATTGTACACCATTTGTTGGTTATTTTATTTTACGTACAGACAT